TTCTTCATATTGAAGCAAAAAATTAAAATCTCCCGCAAATGACGAGAATTTGGCTCGTAAACTGACATTTTCAATCGAGAATAACTTTATGATGCAGACACAAATCGATTAATGTTTCTATGGAATTATGTTGACAGACGCCCAAGTTTATTGTATGACGTCTATGATCTATTTATTTCGACCACCACTTACCGCTAAAGCCATCTATAGGAAAACGGAAGCGGAAGCAAAGTTGTACACCTAATATATTATAATTCCTAATATTTACAATATAATATTACAGCGATATGACAGCGCAATCTGCAAGCAAATTTCTGCAGTATGGGATTATTATTAAAAAGTATTACTTAAGATATCTGACCAATAGCTGAAATTTCTTGAAGGTCATGCTTTGAATAACATTTGTTAAGATCAAGGTTATTGGTGATTGTTTTTTATTTTCAATTTTGCATTAAAAATTTATTTATCTTATTGGGTGTAGGAAAAAGTTCGTGGCGTCTTTTTAATGCCATCTAACGGGAAAAACGCCATGAACTTTTTCCTACACCTAATATTATCTTATTTTCACTTTATCTTATTATCTTATTCCCTCCCTCCCTTCCTCCCTCCCTCCCTCTCTCTCTCTCTCTCTCTCTCTCGACATTATTTTAATTCGCTTCTCATCTTGTAATTTTACTCATCTGCCAAATGTTCTTAGAGGACTTGCCCTAGAACAATAATAAACGCTTTTATCTATCTCGATCCCAAACACATAAATTATTGTCCGTGTATGCTCATTAATGTTCATTTTTTGCTAATTTAATATAATGTTATATGAGAACATTATGTGAGAGCTTAACAGACGGTACACATTTATCGATTTATCCGTGTATCTGAAAAAAATCTGAAAATCTGAAATGGTGTCTTTTACGATCTCAATATCTCAGGATTAACGGCAGTTTTATTCAAGTTAGTTGTAATAGAAAGATCGCGTTGCCATATATATATAATATATATAATAAAAGTATTATTAGATTTTTGATTGCGCTTTTAATTTCTAAGTAATTTTTATCGAAAGTTTCAAAACTCCGGGTAAAACTAGTGATGTAGCATTGTGAATTTGATAGCGAATATGTACGCAATAACATTCATGCATCAAGCGGTCAAGTGATACCGCATCGCTTGATATTTATATTTGTCATATACAAACTGCGTCAGTTAAACCCGGACAAAATTAAATTTGAATTTTCCATTATATATGACTTTAGTAATAGATGATTGTTTGCGCTCGAATAAGTCAGATGTTTGTATAAAACATGTATAATCTCAAAATTTCTGAGTTAGTGAGATCAAGTGCGGAATACAACTAAAAGTGGATAATTGAAGCGCTTTGCGACGGACGTGTACCAACCGAAATGATTCTTCAGATACCGCAACCGTTTACATCGCGCAAAAGTATGCAAACATGAAGAAGTCTGAAGAAGGTTCTACTAACTCGGTATAGAGCCATTCGAGAGAGAAGACTGTAAGGACACCGACTATCTCAAAAGTTCATTTCGGAAAATTTAGGGGTTTCGCTTTGGAAATTGTTTATTACCCTGGGAGTAAGTAATGCCATGCACTGAAGAGAATTTGAGATATATGTCTTATGTGCTCAAGATACGACAAATGTTGTCTGAGAATGTCAAGGCCAAGAGAAGAGTTGTCCGTTGCAATTTGTTTCTTTGTTCTAAAGCACGAAACCGCGGATCGCCTCAGATTTTTTTCCTATAAGATTTTTACTTGATGTAAAAGTGAATCGGGGGAACGACTGTTGATGACAGCTTCGCTCATGATCCCCAGGATGCCCTCGTAATAACCAAGATGAAGTTTCCGGCGAATGTTCACGTCCTAAGTGCTGCCTCCAATGACATCGTGCAGCTTTATTTTTCAAAAAAAGAGAAACTATCATGAACTTCCTTCCCGCGGAAATTTACCTCCGGATTCTGAGGATTGTAGTGATATCATGGATGGAAACTACAGCCTCCAGAAGGCCATACATTTTTCAACGGCACACCAGCTCACACAAGCCATTTAGTGCAAAATTGACTTTCTGATAACGTGGACGCGTTTTAGTCCAAGGAATTTTAGCCTTCTAATAATCCAGATTTAAATCTTCTAGATTATTTTGTGTGAGGCGTTATTGAAAGGGTGTCTAACAAGTCCAAATACCCCAACGTAGCCATCAAACTGCTATTGAGGCAAAATTCATGAATTTAAACAAAGAGTAGTTTTAAAAAGAGCGTGCTTGCGCTTTAGGCATAGGATCGCAGCAAATGAAGGTTATATTGAGCAACAGATCTCAGAGAGAATCCCTCAAGGGATATACACAAAAATTTTTGTGTGTTTTCAAATTTTTTCTGAATAAAATGGCATTTTAATAAACTTTGTTTTATCTGGATTTAACTAACGCACCCTGTATATCTAAACAATCTTTTCCTACAATACAAATTAATATAATAACACATTACAGAATATAATAAATTGAGAATTTAGTATGTAGTAATTAAGAATTTAATATGTATACACAGACTCCTTGTGTAATTCTAAAAATAATTATTATCGTTAGAATTAATGTTCTAAAATTCTTTAGAACATTAATTCTAACGATAATAATTATTTTATTAATAAATTGTATTTCTTTTTATTTTTTGTTATGCTTTGCATATTCTTTCTCAGAAGGTATCAATTTTAATTAGTCCTAAATATCAAAAATGATACTACATATTCTTTCTCAGAAGGTATCAATTTTAATTAGTCCTAAACATCAAAAACGATATTGCAAATTTCGCGAAAAAGTAATACATAACATTAACGTTACCTACTTATATGTCTATTTAAAGAACGCGCAAATCGATACGCAAGGAACGAAGCAAGGAGCTTCACATATACATAATCTTTGAATTTGCCTGAACAAACGAAAAAACAAAAACATATGCATAAAATAACAACAAAAAGACCTTTCTAATAAAATTACTTTTCCATCTCTCCCGTTTCTTAAGTCGATTATCTATTCTCTCCGCTTTTTACCCTGACCTTATCGTATAAATACGCCTCAAGAACGCTCGTTATTTCAAAGATGTTTCAACAAAGTGCTAATTTTACATAATAATTTTTATAAAGAATTCGTGCGATAAAGAGAAAGGATAGGTTACAAACTTATTGATATGAATGATTTGTTCCGTAGTGCCGCCCGATATCGTTTATGGGGGTGACACTAGCGCCGATTTGGCAGTAGCAGAAGGTGACAACGCGACTTTGAGCTGTCGCGCGACAGGACATCCACCTCCGAGAGTATCCTGGCGGAGGGAGGATGGAGAACCCATTGTCATAAGGGCTTCCACGGCTGGTAAGACATTGTTGGAAATTTGAAATCTTTATTCTTGTTCTATTTGTCTGTAACATGTTAATTGTATCAAGTAAAATACAAGATGCCTCACAATTTCAACTTTTATTGCGAATATCTTGTGATTCAAGAAATATTATCAGTACACACTGCACAATAATTTTTTTTTCTTAAAAAAAGATACGAGAAAAATGCATTTATATAAATTGAAAATCTAATAAGTTCAACCAGAAAGGTATAAATCAGATACTTATAGTTAAATTCATTAAACATTCTAATCAAAATAATCAGAAAAATACAGTCATATGATAATTAGAATTCTGAATGATATAGTTTGTACTTCTTGATGATATAATTACACTATTTATTTTTTTTTACTGAAAAGAGACAACAAAAGTCTCCTCAATGTCATCTTACATGCGTAAATATATTAGCAGAATCAACATGTTATTAATTAAACCGCCGATATGACACTATATGCGATGTATCACCTATACTGACGAGATACTATTGTATTAATGATCGACATTCTTACAGGAGTTCACGTTCCTGTTGAACTCTAAGTGAGTTATGAGTAATAAACTGATAATACGAGAGCAAGTCAATAAGTTCTTAGAAAATCTGTCAGAGGGCAGTCACATTACTTTTTGACAAGTAGCATTTCTCGGCTGATTGCTGTCAAATTTTTGAATGGAATTCATCGCGTGGTTTCATTTCTGTAGATTAAAGCGAAACTTTTGTATTTTTTGCAAAATGGAAAAAAACAAGTTCCGTACAGTAATCAAACATCTACATATGAAAGATTTAACGCCGAAAGAAATCAAAGCCGAGTTGGATAATGTTCATAGCACATCTGCACCAGCATTTGCGACTGTATACAATTGGGTGAATGAATTTAAATATAGTCGTACATCCACATGTGATGAGACCACCTCGTTCGGGACGTCTCGTTAAGGCTGCCAGAAATCATCAAGTCCACAATATTGTTTTAACTGATTGACGAGTGAAAGTGCGCGAACTTGTTGAAGCCATAAATATATTGCCATGACACAGTGATTTCAATTTTGCACGAACAATTGGGTATGAAAAAGCTATTAGCAAGATGGGTGCCACGTTTACTCACTGTGGACCATAAGCACGATTTCAAAACAATGAAGATATTTCAACGTAATCCAGATGAATTTCTGCGTCGATTCATTACTGTAGATGAAACATGGATCCATTACTTCACACCCGAGATGAAGGAACAATCAAAAAACAATGGACTTCACCAGGTGAACCAGTTCCGAAGATTGTAAAGTCGGCTGAAAAGGTAACAATTTTTTGAGATGCACGCGGTATAATTCATATCGATTTTCCGTCGAAGTAAACGGCGATTACAACCTTATTTATTTATTATGGATCGTTTCAATAACATTTTAAAGAAAAAACGTCCCCATTTGGCGAAGAAGAAAGTGCATCAAAACAATGCACGGGTTTACACGGTGCCCGGTACCAATGGCCAAACGAATTCCGCTACGAATTCCCCATCCAGCATATTCGCTAGATTTAGCCCCCTGCGACTATTTCCTGTTTCCAAACCTGAAGAAATGATTCGGAGGAAAGAGATTCACCAGCTCATAGAACAAAGGCTTATTTTAAAGGATTGGACAAATCATATTATTCGGACGGCTTGAAAAAGTTGTAAAACCGTTGGATCAAGTATATCGAGCTAAAAGGAGACTATGTGAAAAATAAAAATAAATCAAAAAAAATGTGTTTTACTATGTTTTTCTAAAAACTTATTGACTTGTTTTCGTATAGTAATAATTTTATGATTTATTAGTTTCGTAGACATGCACACATATTTAAAATTCATTTAATACTTGAGTTTTAATTAAAATTAAGATTTTTATCGTCTGGGTTTGATTATCAACAAAGATGATAACTGTAGAGAAAGAAATTGTAATTTTGCAGCAATATGCAGAATATTGTAGTATTATAGTATTATAGTATTATAAGTATATACAGGATGAATTAGAGTCGTTGAAAAGAGAAAATTATCGATTTTATACCTAATTGAATTATAACGTGTGCAATTAATTATTTTCTCATAGGGTAAAAAGTTCAACAAATCTGATTCACCCTGTATATTATGGTATTATAGTATTATAAATATGCATACGTATCTAGATAGAACATTTAAATAAAAAATCGTCAATTTAATGATATAAAAATTTATGTTGATAATCGCAAATTTAAATCAATTATCGATAATGTCAGCGTTCTTCAATTTTCTTCGCAACTTTTTTGTACGGACATGGAAAATTTGCATAGAATTGACGATCTTTAAGGGAACCCTAAAGTCGTCTGTATTACTACCAACTAAACCATAGAAATTTTTACAATAGAATTTTTGTATAACAAGTACTTTTTTCCTCTCTTACTGATTTAAAAATCCTTTTCCAGGATTAAAATATATGGCATTAATACATGTCTGTAAGATGGAATCTATGCTGAGAACAACAAAACATTCGAAATTTCGAAATTGAGATCTTCTTTACCATTTCTTAATCCAATTCGCTTCAGAATTGTTCAACATTTTCTTCATATAAAAATTGTACAATCTGTATTCATTTCTGTACTTACAAAATAATAGTCTACAGACTAGTAGTTTGCATGAAGAAACAGCGTGGAGTTCTTAAAATTGGACTTGAACATCTAATTAAAATGTAAAATGTTATATATACGAAAATTGATATATACAGGATGAGGAAAAAAAATCGAGACACCTAAGTAACTTCTGAACGGTACGATATAGAGGATTAAGGTTTATAGGAATGCAAATGGCATCATAAAATCTATTATTTAATATCAAAAAAACCTATTTTAACATCCCTGGGGGCGAGGAGAAAGGCGGGCGGAAAAATCTTAAATTGCACATCGAGTGAGGGTTTGTTTGAAAGGGCCTTCCAAGATGAGAACAATGCATGGTCTCTACGATTTTTTTCGCAGAGTTATGATCATTTAAACATTGGGATTTCGTAGTAGTGGAAAGCTCACGACGTGGACGTGACAGAGACTTTGTGCAGGCACGTGTGGATAAAAGTGCATGTGGGAAGGAATGTGTGTGTGTGTGTGTGTGTGTGTGTATGTGTGTGTGTGCGCGCGCGCGCGCGCGCTGGGAGTTTGTAACCAATTAAGACAAGTGTGGAAAGGTTTATATCAATTGTTCAGAATGAGTATCATCAACTGTTTGATAATAAACTATCTAATGGTTAAAAAATGAAATAGCATTTTGAATGTAATCATGAGGGATAAGAGCTGCTTCCTGAAGAATCTGATTTATTGTAATTCATCCAAATTATTTGGTTTCATTTTTGTAAACTCTCTCTCTTTTAACCCCAGAAAATAATCGAGAGGTATTAGGTCGCGCGATTTAGGAGGCCATTCGATAGCTCCTCTTGCACTTATCCATCTCTTAGGAAACACTGTACTAAGATAATGACGTTTCTTCCGTAATGTGGTGCAATCTTGTTGAAATTATGTATTCTCAAAATTGTCTCCCACGATTATATTGTTGAAACTATTTCATGTTTTTCATCTTTCAGCGATTAGTAGTGGGACATTGAATTGCTCTCAACTCAAGGCTAGAATTAGCAAGTAAGCTATCACTACTTCTTACACATAAGAACGCAATACCTTACGTCCACATGAATCGCCATGACGCCAAAAAGTCGCATTATTTACATGAGCGCGAGCCACAATCGCATCTCGATACTTGCGTCATGTTTAATCCATTTCACTTTATGCGAATTGCGCATAAAACTGACCATACAAAGCATTTCGCGCATATGAGCGAGACATGAGGCATCTCACGCATACAAGCGAGTCATCTTCGGACCGTCCTTACATCAGAGTGACAAGCAGCGCCTCTCCCGTTTCAACAAGACGTCACAGGATTTCTCCGAGGAAGCAGCGCACGGCCTCTTCATCAGTTTGAGCCGTATCATTGATGCATTCCAACAGCTCTACTTTCCATCATCGCACATGCGAAGATCACAACGCATTGAGATGATTATTCGTCACAATCGTAATCACGAATTCATGTTTATATTCGATTATATTGCGATATATTGATAACGGGCAAATTAATTAATAATTAATGCCTTTCTTCCTTATTAGTATAAGGCATGCATTAACTCGCATTACTTAGTTGCGCACAAAATCTTCTCGGGCCAACGCTTGTAGATTTGCTAACATTATTTTCTTTCATTATTGAAACTGCTCGGAAGGGCTTGTTCACTTGAAATCTAAGAATAATCATAGGTTAGTATCATGGCGAACTTCTAATTAAAAAACGCGGTAGAATTAAAGCAAAACTAACAGCCTTCGATAATTTCAGTCGCATTAATACAGAACAAGAAGACAAAAATGAGCTACCACTGTGAATCAAAAAAGTGGACTTTTACAGAATTTGATGTGATTCAAGGCGAGATCGAAGATTTAGACGAAACACAAGCGCATCTCAGAGGAAACAACAATTTGAGAATAAATATTACAGGTTAACAGCCGCACGAAAGCTAATCGAACGAGCAACTTCTCCGCAGCATGACATTGCAACCCGACATTGGTGACGAGCATTTGTATTTAAACCCGCTACTTGGCTTCCAACGTTCCTGACGAGCTGCCCAAATTCGACGAAAATTTTGAATCTTAGATACCGTTTCGAGATTTATTCCAGTCACTTATCGCATCAAATACCATCATTCCTTCTGTCTAAAAGTTCCATTATCTAAGATCAGCATTGACCGGTAAAGTTTAAAAGGTAATATATAATGAAAGGTAATAACCCTCGCTAGAAATTACTAGCGTAATTACGAAATTGCTTGGCAATTGTTAAAACGAAGATTCGAAAATAAAAGAAGTTATTCATCATCTCATTCAAACATTGATAGAATTGCCATTAATTTCCAAGGAGTCGTATGCTGATCTCAGACAATTGGAGATAATGTGTCACAAAT